TGTGTGTGTGTGTGTGTGTGTGTGTGTGTGTGTGTGTGTGTGTGTGTGTATGCATCCTTGGGCACGAGTCTCTGCCTCCTCCTTCTTAGCCTGTGTCCGAGGCTCTCTCTTTGTCCCTCTCTGCCCCCTCCCTTTCCTCCCTCATCATTCCCCACTCTGCTTTCATCTCTCCCTTGACTGGCAGGAATATTTTATTACTGGTTCCTGAACATGGTTTTATACTGCCGCTCTTAATTCTGAAGGTGGGTAAGGGAATAAATACTTCTTTTTCTCTTTTTATAGAAGCTATTAATTAAATCACTTTTTACCCAGGTGGCCTTGGTTAATTCTCTGCAATTAATGGTGTGGTGGCCTCTTGTATAAAATTATTTCCAGATCTTGCTAAGGTGATCCTGAGCCCCTCTCCCCTCCTGCCCCTGGGGGCAGGAATGGGCCCCTGGGCACTCCCCAGAATCCCACCACCGGCCCCTCACCGGCTTTCCTCGCCCTCCAGCAGCTTCCGGTAGGTGGCAATCTCCACGTCCAGGGCCATCTTGACATTGAGCAGGTCCTGGTACTCGCGCAGGTGGCGGGCCATCTCATCCTTGAGGTGCCGGATCTCTTCCTCCAGACGCGCAATGTTGTCCTGGTAACCGCTGGCCTCACTAGCAAAGCGGTCTTCCATCTCGCGCATCTGCCTCATCAGCGAATCGTTCTGCAGGAGAGTGACACCCAGGTCAAGGAGAGGCATGGAGGGGTGGGCACGAGGGGCCCAGGGTGGTGAAAGACACAGCCTTGGAGCTGGGGCGCAACCCCAGATGGTCAGGTCCGGGAGTGGGCACGCTCTTCTAAGCTAGGGAACCCTGAACTCAAGTGAAGTCTTCTCTGGAAATCCAGAGAATAGAAGTGATAAAAGGAAGCATCCATGTCTTTTCTCTCCACCATCCCCATCTAGGGGACCCCTGATTCCTGAGAGTTCAACTGAGAATCCACCTGTCTGTTTTCGCCCCTGTGAGAGATGTGAAGAGCCAGAGGCCCAGAGAGGGTGTGTGATGGGAACCAAGATCATGGAGTGAGAGTGTGCGCTGTGGGCCGGAAGGAGCGGGCCGGGTGAGGCAGGCGGGCACTCACAGTGCCCTTGAGGGCGTCGATCTCACAAGTGTAGGACTGGATCTGGTGTCGGTACTCCATCATCTCCTGCTTGGCCTGGCGCAGTGCGTCGTTGTTCTTGTTGGCTGCCTGGGTCAGGTCGGACACCTGAGGGCAGGGAGGGGTACTGCGATGAGGAGCCTGCGGGACGCAGGCAAGGGATGGCAAGGGAGCCTGGAGACCCTGGCTCACCCTCCTCCCCACGGAGAGAGCCACAGGAAGCACGTCCAAACAGGGATGGCGGGGGACAGAGGGGCCAGGCCCCTGGGCCAGGTTGCCCACCTTGGACTTGTACCATTCCTCAGCTTCTGAGATGTTCTTAGCTGCAATGGTCTCATACTGAGCCCGGATGTCCCTGAGGGCTGCGGTGAGGTCCGGCTTGGACATGTCCATCTCCACCTGTACCTGCTGTTCCTGAAGTTGAGCCTGTAGCTCTCGGATCTCCTGCAGGGCACAGCTGGGCCTCAGTAGTCTACCAGGTCCCACCCACACGGCACCCTCACACCCCGGTCCCCAGAGCCTTGCATGGCTCCTCCCCCTTTCCAGCTGTTCTCACCAGGGTCTAAGGACCCTGAGGAGGAAGGCTGAAGGCATACCTCTTCGTGCACTTTCTTAAGGAATGCGATTTCCTCGTTGAGAGATTCAATCCTGCGCTCCAGGTCAATTCGAGCTAGAGTAGCCGCATCCACGTCCTAGGAGCGGTCAAGCAAGAGGGAGAGGGTCACTGATAACCCAGGCAGGGCAGGGGGAGACCAGGGGCCACCCGGGGTCAGAGGGGTAAAGCTGCTGGGGGACCAAAGAGGGCTCACCGCTCGGAAGGCAGCCAAATTGTTCTCTGCTTCTTCTTTCAACTGAATCTCCTCTTGCAGCCTGGCCAGAACAGACAGATGGAAAGAGACAGTTGGTGGGGATAAAACTGGCCGTGGGGATGGCCAGGTGGGGCCTGCCCAGGGAGTGGGGCTCAGGACACCGGGAGGAGGCCTGCCTACAGGGTAGAGACAAGAGGCCCTGCCCACCCAGGGAGGGGACAGGAAGTGGCCCAATTTCTTCCCCAGAGCCACACCCCGGAAGTCTATGTCCCCACCAGATTGTGACCTCCCTGGGATTAGGAACTGTGTCTATTCTATGCACCTCTATGTTCCTGGTTCGCAGCCCCAGTCTGGCCCACGTAGGTGCTCAATTATCGTTTGCGACCCCGGGTGGTAGGACAGTGATTCTGCTCACTTGGGCTGTCAGAAGCAGGACCCATGAGTACTTGCTCTATTCTTGTTGCCTTTTCCTACTGGAAGCCTGGTGAAGCCCACCATCAGGCCCTCCAAGCTTTCTGGGGGCTGCAGCTAGCTCCCTCCTCCTTCTTCTAGCTTATCCATTCCCTTTGTGGAATGGCACAGCCTCAGCCTGGCCTAGAGACCAAGATCTGCTCTCTACCCACCTCCCCCAGGGCAGATCGCAGAGGAGCTGAGAGCTACCACTTAGATTCCCCACCCCCTGCCCTTCACAGCTTGCCCCAGATTTGCCTTGTCTCCTATCAACCCCCTCCCCTCCCACCCGGCGACTGAACCGGGGCCTCCTCCCTCCGCTCATCTGCCTGTCCCCCATCGACACCAGCCCGGAATCTTAAAGTGCTTTTAAGGGGGCTGTCCACAGGGCCCAGGTCTCCCATTTCCACCCCGTGATGTCCCCAAGAAAACTCCTCCCTTGCAGAGTGAGAGCATGAGGGAGAGACCCGGAGTCCATCTCCCCTGGGGGGACACCGGTAGATGACTCTCTCCCGGCCCGGAGGTAGGAGAGGGTTGCTGGCGCCCTGGGGGAAGGCAGGCCCTGACAGCTGCGCCCCAGCCCCGTGGCCTCGCCTCCCGCGCCCAGCCCACGGAAAGGGGGTTCTGGGAGTGCCGGGTCCTCACTTGGCCTTGAGCCGCTGCAGGTCGTCCAGCAGGTTGTCACGCTCGACGTCCACGCGGGCGCGCTGGTTGGTGAGCACCTCCACCTGGCGCCGCAGCTCGCGCAGCTCCTCCTCGTAGATCTCGGCGACCCGGGTCGGCTCGCGGCCCTTGAGCCGGTTCACCTCGGCGGCGAGCGCCGCGTTCTGCTGCTCCAGGAAGCGCACCTTCTCGATGTAGTTGGCGAAGCGGTCGTTGAGCTCCTGCAGCTCCACCTTCTCGTTGGTGCGCGTGGTCAGGAACTCCTGGTTCACCGCGTCGGCCAGCGAGAAGTCCAGCAGCTCGCCCGCGCCGTAGGAGGAGGGCGCGCGGGCCGACCCCAGCCGGCTGGCCCGCAGCGCCCCCAGGCCCCCGGCCCCGCCCGACGTGCGCGACACTTGGTACACGCGGGACGTCATCGAGCTCGAGGAGCCCTTGGTGCCGAAGCCCGCGCGCGGAAACACGGGCGAGCTCAGCGGGGAGGCGAGCGGGAAGCCCCCGGCCCCGCCGAAGGTGCGGCGGTAGGAGGACACGCGCTGGCTGGACGAGTAGGCCTGGCTCATGGTGGCGGCGCGGGCGAGGCTGGGCGGCACGGAGGGGGCGGCGGGCGGCGGCCGGCTGGAGAGTGGATGCGTCGAGGGGAGACAGGGCCCCTTAGCCGTCTGCACTATTTGTATCCCTCCTGACATCAGCCCCCGCCAACCCCTCCCCTGACAGCTGCAGGATCCCGCTGTCCTGCCAGGAAGGGCGGCCGCTGGCGTGGGGGCGGGGAGGCCAGTTCCCCCCCCCCACCCCGCCCCGCAAGAGGCCCGCGCCCCTCCGCCGGGGGGAAGGGGCCCGTGAGAGGTGTGGGACAGGGTGGAGGACCTAGGAGGGCAGAAGATGGGCAGGCCTGCCAACCCCTTCACCCGGGGCACAGAGCATGTCTGGAATCCCTAGGCAAGCCTCTTTCAGCCCTTGGGTGCCGGCCTCCTCCTGGGGGGTAGTCAGGGGAGAGAGTGGGGGAGAGGTTTCCACTTAGTTCGAGGGTGTCCCTTTTGCTCTGAGGAGAGACTTTGGGTCATTTCCTGGAGGAACAATGCCTAGTCCCAAGAAAAACTCAATCACTTCCCTGCCCCCCCAAAGATTGTCTAGAACTGGCAGAGGGTTGGGAGGACTCAGGAAAGACAGGCATCCACCAGGCCAGGCCAGAGGAAAAGGGTCTCTAGGCAGTCAGGGAGGCTGGGAGAGTACCGTGGGGGGCAGAGAGCAGTCGTGGCCAGAGCCCGCCTGCTCAGATATGTCCCCTGGTACCAGGACTCAAGCCCTGAGCCTCAGTTTCCCTCTGGGCTAGTGCAGGCCCTTTTCCTCCCCCTCTTTGGGGTAGGGCAGAGCCTGGAGTTTATAAACAACAGGGTGATTTCCAGAAAGGGCCCAGCACCCTCTCAGTTTCCAGTTACTATGTACTCTCACCCCCACACACCAACTTCACCTGGCTTCTACCCCCTTGTGCCCACCCCCACCCCTTCTCTGATTCATCCCCCTACTCACATCACCCACACCCACACACACCAGGGGTTTGTATTTTGTCAGGAGCCGTGTGTCAACCCAGCCATCTCTCTGTCAGCAACAACTGCCAACCCGGCATACCAGAGCTGGTATTTATAGAGGAGAATGCATCAATCTGGGAAACAGGCCCACAGGAGAGGCGCTCTGGGGGGTGAGGGTGGGTACCTGAGGAGGCCTGGGTGTCAGATGGCCCAGGCAGGTTTGGGGTGATAAACCCCAATCACTTCCTGCCCCCGTAATGCCCCAAGCCCCCAGCCAGAATGGAGTCCCACAGAGGGCTTGTCCAGTCCTTCATAGCCTTCCTCCTCCCCGGTACAAGGTACTGGCTGACCCCTGAGGACATCCCCACTTCTCCATGAGCACTGGCTGCCTCCCTACACCTCCACCTGGCACTTTGCAGGCCTCTCTTAGGCCTGGCCCTTTTGGAATGCCAAGTTCTGAAGTAGAGTGCCGGTCCTACCACAGCTCTGCCATCAGCAGCAGGCAAGTCCTTCACCTTTCTGTGTCCTCCACCGTCAAGGGGAAGGGGTCAGCCTTGCCGTATCTACCCTACAGGCTTTGAAGAGGCTCGAATAACAATATGCAGGGGCACCTGAAGCTGAGGCAGTCTGACTCCAGAGCTGTGCCCCGCTCCGCCCCCTGAATGGATGTGAATATGCCAGGTGAACTGTAAAGGACTTTGTTACTGCTGTCTTCTCAAAGCCTTTCCACACTAAGTATCTAATTTTTATCCAAGAGACAGGCATATGAGGTAGGTGGGGAGTTCCAGATATTCTTATCCAGGCTTCCAGTCAGTGCAAGCTGTTGTGTTCTGGTTATTTTTGTGTCTTGTCTCCCCAACTAGATTGTAGTCTCCTGGAGAATTTTAGAGACCATGTGGATCCTGAGCATATCCCAGGCAACAACCATCCTTGTTGTAGTTCCAAGTAGCCTGCAAGCTTTCTTTCCCATTCCCTTATTTTGGTAACAAAGGCTTCACACACAGAGAACACTCAATGGGTGGACAGATGACCCAGTTCCCAGCCAGTCTTATCAACTCTATCCCTCGGACTGCAGTGATTGGCTCAAGGGGTGACCTGGACCCAAGAAGAGCCAATCAGAGACCTTCCCTGGAATTTATAGATGGAACAGGGATTACTCAGCGGAAGCCTGTGGCAGCCATGTTTCCTGCCCCGTGGGACATTCTGGCACTAGGAGGAATGGGAGGTCAGCACACAAGGAGAAGCAGACACACCTGGAGAGGAGAATGCCAGGCAGGAAATTCTCAATTCCAGCTCCCCAGGAGCCCTGGTCTGCAGCTTTACCTTTGACTTTGTGAGCCCCGCCCCCACCCCCCACCCCACCATGTCCTTCCTGACTTTGGGGCCAATAAACTTTTCCTTTTTTTTTTTCCCCACTTAAGGCACTTGGTGCTGGCTCTTGTCACTCGTAGCCAAAACATTCCTGACCAATCTCTTGTAGGAGACGGTGCACCCATTTCCACACTACTAGGGAGGACAGAACATTTTTGGGAGTCCTCTCTATGAACCGTCTCCAGACCACATAAGGAAATTGCCCTTCGGACCAGCCCAAGGCCTCAGTTCGTGGTGAAATGAAGCAGAAAACAAATAAATAAATTGTCACTTATTCTCTAGTCAAAATCAACATCTACCAGACTTGGCTCTGAAACACTTGGGACTGTTTCCAAACTTCAGTTCCAACCCTGAGAATCTGCTACCATGGAGGGCAGCAAAACAACACTCCAAGGCTCACACAGCAGGTGAAAGAGGAGTGCTCCAAAACACGTTCTGAACTGGGCAGCACCTCTGGAGTCAGAGTTTCACCTCCCCAGGGGACTACTTACAAATGGACACACAAAAAATATTAATAATTTATCTGGATGGATAATGGACATGGCACATATTTCAAAGGGGTCCCATTCTGTGGGATCATATGCTTTTCACTCCGGTGATTGTATGCTTTGGTGCACAACACATTTTCATCTTGATGAGTCCAACTTACCTATATTTTTTCTTTTATTGCCTGTACCTTGGTGTCATATCCAAGAAATCACTGCCAAACTCAGTGTCATGAATTCTACCCACTATGTTTTCTTCTAAGAGTAAAAGTAAAGTTTCATGTCCTTGATCCATTTTGAGTTCATGTTTGTATGTGGTGTAAGGGAAGGGTCCAACTTAATTTTTTACATGTGAATATCCAGTTTTCTCAGCACCATTTATAGAAGACTGTCCTTTCCCCGGGGAATGGTCTCAGCACCCTTGCTGAGATCTACTTAGTCGAATGTGTGAGGATTTATTTCTGGTCTCTCTGGTCTATTCCATTGGCCTGTATATCTGTCCTCATGACAGTACCACACTGTTTTAATGACTGTAGCTTTGTAATAAGTTTTGAAATCAGGAAGCGTGAAGCTTTCAACTTTGTTCTTTTTCAGTATGGTTTGGCTATTCAGGGTCCCATGAGATTCCATGTGAATTTTAGGATGGATTTTCCCATTTCTTCAAAAAATCGTTGTGGGATTTTGATAGAGATTGCTTTGACTCTGTAGGTCACTTTAGGCGGTATTGACAGTTTAACAACAGTATGTCTTACAATCAATGAATATGGGATGTCTTCCCATTTATTTGTGTCTTCTTTAATTTATCTCAGCAATGTTTTATAGAGTTCGATGAACCAGTCTTATGCCTCGTTGGTTAGGTCTATTCCCAATTATTTTCTTATTTTGATGCTATTGTAAATGAAATTGATCATGTGGGGTTTTCCCTTCATTCTGTAAATGTGGTATCTTAAACTGATTGATTTTCATATGTTGAACATCCTTGCATTCCAGAAATAAATCCCACTAGGTCATGGTGTATAATCCTTTTAATATGCTGCTGAATTTGATTTGCTAGTGTTTTGCTGAGAATATTTTTACATCAATATTCATAAGGGACATAGGTCTGTAGATTTATTTTCTTGTGGGTCTTTGTCTGGCTTTGGTATCAGGGGAATGCTGGCCTCATAGAATGAGTTAGGAAGTATGCCCTCCTCTTCAAATTTTTGGAAGAGTTTGAGAAGGACTGGTGTTAATTCTGAAATGTTTGGTAGATCTCACCAATGAAGCCATCTGGTCCTGCTTTTCTCTTTGTTGGGAGATGTTGAGTCATTCTTCTTAATATCTTCATTTGTATTTCACTGTACAGATTTGCCATAATTTATTTAGCCAATTTTTAATTGATGGACATTTATACTGTTTCCATTCTTTTGCTATGATAAACAGTGCTGCTATGAACATCCTGGGGACACAGTTTTGAATTTATAAATTTTGATAAGCTATTTTTTAAAAATAGTCACATTATTTTAAGGCCATGTTCTTCCTTGAGCTAACTGGTGTGGGAAATGGGAAGTTCCACTAAGACGGACCACTTCATTCAGCACTTTTCAGAAGAAGGGACAGTTTATATACTTAAGTATGCATTACGGTGTCCTGTACACTGGGTGTTATCAATACATTTTGTCGAATCAATTAAAGAAGAAAGTCAGTCCAGGGGGTGCCTGGGTGGCTCAGTTGGTTAAGCATCTGCCTTCAGCTCAGATCATGATCTCAGGGTCCTGGGATCAAGCCCCAGGTCAGTCTCCCTGCTCAGTGCAGAATCTGCTTCTCCCTCTCCTCCCTGCTTGTGCTCTCTCTCACTACCTCTCTCTCTCTCTCTCAAATAAATAAATAAAATCCTAAAAAAAAAAAAAAAAAGGAAGTCAGTCCTACTTTTGCTTGAAATCTTCCTGGATTACCTGACCTTGGAGAGTCTTGGGAACTTGTGGTTAGAGGTGACTTCAGCGATCACAAGGACAGCCTGTCCAATGTCCTTACTTCTCAGTTAAGGTTGAAATATCTCTGGTGACTGTAGCAAGCCTGGGTCCAGCTGGGAACTCAGTGTCTCTAGGCTGCCCATTCCATTCCACTAAGAGTCATTGAGTACCTAGCACATCTCTGTCATGGGACAGTGGACAGCTCTGGTATTAGAAAACATTTCCTTAAGGGTGCCTGGGTGGCTCAGTCCGTAGAGCACGAAGCTCTTGATCTCAGGGTCTTGAGTTTAAGCCCAATATT